GGGGGGGGGGGGGGGGGGCATCCTTACCAGCTGCCAACCATTTGAGCAAAAAAGGTCCCCCCCCCCCCGGGCTGGTTTCACAGGACATCACACCCACGGTGTGGCAGTTCTGCCTGTCAGCCAAACACACAGTGCAGCGCAGCTAAGAGAACACATGCAAGGGTCCCTTCATTACAACATGCAGCCTCTCCTCTGATCTGCAGCAACGAATGGCCAGAAGACAAATAAAATGCAACACAACTCAGAGACAAATGACGGGACCCAGTGGCAGGGGAAGCTGATTCGCCCGGTGGTGGCATGAGGCATTACTGCCGGCATCAGGCCGAAACCCACCCCCAGATCGGTGCTTAGGGGTCCTGCAGCACACCCAAGCGATTTGCGGTATGACAGAGGAGTGCGGCCAGCATTCAAATTATAAATGCGGTCACTGAGATGAGGAGTGTGGTATTCCTCAGCGTGAGAGCTGGGGTCTGACATGGAGCGAGAGCCCAGTGATGGGAGCTACGCACGCAGCCGATGACTCACTGCAGGAAACCGAAGTGGGACTCCCTGCACAGCAGCTCATATCCTCCCTGGCTGGCTCTCCATGCCCCTCTGACCTTGTTCAGCTCCCCTCCGGGTGATACACAGTGCAGGCTGCAGCTCGTAGTGGTTTCCTACACCCGTTCACTGGTAAATAGAGCTGGCAACGCCACATGGAACCAGCATGGGACAGAAGGAGAGCCTGCCATCAGCGAGAGGGCCCGATCAACAGCGCCGGAAGAGGTTAAACACCGCTCAGAGCGACGACAAACATGCAGGGAGCGGGTTGGCACAAGAGCCAGCATCCAGGAGGGCTCCGTCCCACTCAGTGAACATACACTGCTCAGTGCCAGCAGTGCAGACACTTAGCACGTCAGGCAGCCGCAAATCTCCCCATTTAAAGCACCGGCACAGCCACCAGGGGAAATAAACCATCCCCACCATCATGGTGAAAAAGCGGCTGACTGATGGGACTCTTTTCATAAAGAGACAAAGCACACAGGATGAGGCTCCTCCCACTGAAAGCTGAGTGCTCAGGGTGCCTTAATGGAGACCTTGCTGCAAGGGTTACACCTGTTAATCAGCAACAGCCCAATGGGAATGGAGGTGGCAGACAGGACCACAACCAGGGCGCGAACTGAGCACCATCAGCATCAGCAGAGGGAAGCAGAGGGCCTGGCTCACAAGCACGATCACCATCAGCGAGAGGGCGGCAGAGGGCCTGGCTCACAAGCACG